CCTTCCACTCGGCGTCCTCCTGGAATACCTTGGGCATGAAGGACACTTGGGTGTTGAAGCGTTCCCACGGCCGCGCGGCGACAACCTCTTCGTATGCGACGACAACAGACGGCGGTATGTCGTCGTGGGCAAGGCCTTGGACCCCGCAAGAGGCTGGTGGGGTCTTGCGAGTCTTCTTCGCCTTGCCGGGGCCTGACCCGTCCGACGAACGCTTAACGGCCGGAGAACTGGGCGCCGTGTCCGGCAGCGAATCGGTGTCGTCAGACTCGGCGTCAGACGGCGCCGTTGTCGACTGGGTGGTGAAGACAACCGCAGACGCCACCGGAGTCGTAACACCACTTGGTTGAAGACGCGCCGCCACCCAGGATCGGTAGTCGCGGCCGAGAATACGACCCACGAAGGGAGCCGGCGGGACGAGCGTCGCTGGAGCCGGTGCGATGGTCAGGGTCTTCCCCTGCTGAGCAAAGGCGTCGGACACACCCGCCTTCCAGGACGCTACGAGAGATCGGACCAGCTCGGCCCCCTCGACGGGGAACTGGCGCACCACCCAGTCCCAGAAGAGGGGCATCGCGTCGGCGAACCGTCGATTGGCCATGAGGGCATCTTGCTCCGCCACGTCGAGCCGGACGCGAAGTTCGTCGCACTCCTGACCCAGAGCCAGGTTCGAGTCGCGGAGAGTGCCGACCTCCTCGGCGGACTTGTTCAGGGCCTCCTCTTGGTCCTTCGCCTGGGCCCGGAGCGCGTCAAGCCGCGACCCTACGGTGGTCCGACTGGTTTCGGTCGACGACCGGGTTGCCGCCAACTCGCCTTCCAGCTCGCGGAACCCTTGCGCGAAGGACGTGCTCGGTCACGGGGGCCAACGCGGATGGCGGTCTTGGAGGCGAGGCGGTCGAGGGAGCTTCCTTGAAACGTTTCACCACGTTGTCCAGGCGCGCCTTTTCTGCCAGGATGAGGTCTCGACCCCGGGCTGCCGACGCCAATTGGGCGCTCTTTTGGCTGGCGTCTTGGCGTGCCGAGTCCCGCTCGTCGCAGGCGCGGTCGAGGTCTAACTGCAGGGACGCCACTTGCTGGCCCTGAGTCTCCAGCTGAGCCTTCAGGGACGTGATCGACGCTCAAAGGGACGCCTACACCAAACCGACGGTCTGGAAACGCTTGGACCAAGCATTGACTTCGTTGTTGACGACCGCCAGGTCGCTGCGCAACTGATCGATCGTCTCCGCTGCTAGGCGGGTCTCGGTGTCCAGCTGGTCCCGGAGGGCGGCCACGTACGCTTCCGCTGCGACACAGGAGTTGCGCTCAACGACAAGATCCGTCTCGCGGGCCACCAGGTTGGACTGCACCCGCGCTAGGAGCTGCTCGGCGGCGTCCTTGACGGTGATCAGCTCCTGGACGGAGCGCAGGGTCGAGCCAGGCCCACCGTCACCGAAAATAGATCTAGAAGCGACCAGAATGGACTGGGCGGCCCCTGGGGCACTGTCCAGACGGGAAGACAACGAGTCGAATTCCGTGGCCGAACGATTCAACGACGAATACAGCGACTCGACGGTCGGTGCGCTGGTTCCATCCTTGGCACCAGGAGGACCGGTCGAGATAAACGGCGGGCACGGCCGACGACAGCACTGAAGGTACCAGGAAGGGATTTGGTGCATCCGGGGTCGACGCCGGTGCTCCGGTTGGCTGGACGGGCGAAGGTGGCGAAGGCATGGTGGATACGAAAGTGCGCTGCAGACTGACTGGGTCCCTCTCCCGTCCTGTCCCTGGTTGATGAAGATCTCTGCCAACGGTGTTCCGAAGCTCTCGGTTCGCCCAATCACTCGAGACCTGGGACCGCGCGCTACTCGCAACGCCCCAGGATTGGCTCGTCTCGTCGTCCAGTTGCACCGACTGTCTGCCCCGTGAACTG